GCCTGCACCGTGCCTGCCCCTGCCGCGTCCCCTCCTCCGCATGCGCTGGCCCTCAGTGCTCACACGGGGCTTGCACACCTTCACGGCGGCTCTGCGGCCCTGGCGCTCTGCGTCTGACAGCCCGTCCGGGCACGTCCAGAGGCCGGCCGGGCCGTGGTGCCCACCGAGGGCTCGCCGCTGGCCACCGAGGCCACCCCTTACACTCGGCCTGTCCCTCCAGGCTGGCTTCCTCGGAGCTCTGTGGTTCCAAGGAGGGAATGCTGAGCTCTCCCCAAACCTGACAAGTTTATTTCTTTATTTTTTAAAGTACATTTTTATTTATTTATTTTTTTACAGAGAGGAAGGGAGAGGGATAGTGAGTTAAAAACATCAATCAGCTGCCTCCCGCACACCCCCTATTGGGGATGGAGCTTGACACCAAGGTACATGCCCTTGACCGGAATCGAACCTGGGACCCTTCAGTCCTCAGCCTGAGGCTCTATCCACTGAGCCACACCAGTTAGCAAGCATGCGGCCTGCTGGCCACGAGTTTGACAGGCAAGAGTGAGGGCAACAGGCTACTTTTAAAGCATCTTCCATTTGAGAGGAGGCGGTGAGGCGGCAGGCACACGCGAGGGTGAGATCAGCTGTGTGGAGCCTCCGAGGTCACATGGGATGCGATGGTGACCTGCAGCCACGCTCCATCCTCCTGCAGGGAGAACGGCGGCTCACGCTGCCTGCTGGCGGCGCTGCTGGGGAGTGCCATCACCGGGAAGAGCCGACAGGAACCGGGGCCCAGGACACGGCAGGGCTGGACTGTCAGTGGCCGCCAGCCCCAGTGGCTCCTGTAGCCGGGCCTGGCCTCTGCTGCTCTCGGCCGTCCCGCGGGCTGTGCCCAGTCCTGTGAGGACGTGCCGGTCCCGTAGGCGGTCGCTTTTAAGAAGATGCCGGTGCTCTCCACGCCCGCAGGGCGGAGGGGTGCTGCCTGCCAGGCAGGCCCAGGAGCCCACAGCGCCCCCATGGCAGCCAGGTCACTTACAGGCAGGGTGCTCTCGCTCCAGAAAGAGCTTAGGACAGGGCAGCTGGGCGGCCAGGGTCCCGCCTGGGGCACTGCGCATCTGGGCCAACAGAGCTGGGCACACGCTGATAGAGATGAGAGCAGGCAGGACTGGCCCCAGCCAGGACCCGTGTGAGGGCTGGGCAGGGGCTTGGCCCCTCAGTGACCTGCTCTCCCCAGCAGCCTGGAGCCATCCTGGTCGGTCTGCTGCTCCCGCCCTCGGCAAGTGCCGGGCCGAGTGGGGGTCCTCCTTGATGGTCCCACTAAGCACGCAGAGGAGGCCCGGCTATGGCTGCAGAGGAGCCTTCGGGGTGAAACCGGACTCCCTTTGCCCGTCTCCCCTTCTCCCCACACGGCTCCCCGCGCGGAGTACCGAGAGCCTCACCCACTACCCTTTCCCAGGCTCCTGGGGAATTGGGCACACTGTCAGCCAGGAGTAGATTAGTCCTGGGGATAGCTCAGTTGGTTAGAACATTGTCTCCATATGCCCAGGTTGTAGGTTCGATTCCCAGCCAGGGCACATACAAAAAGTAACCAAGGAATGCATAAACAAGTGGAGCAACAGATTGATGTTTGTTTTTTTCTCTCTCTGTCTTCCTTCCTCTCTCTAAAATCAACCAATCAATATATTTTGAAAAGAGATTAATATTTATTTTAAAACTAGAGGCCTGGTGTGTGAAATTCGTGCGGGGGGGGGGGGGCGGTAATTCCCTCAGCTCGGCCTGTGCCCTCTCCCAGTCTGGGGGCCTCAGGGGATGTCCAACTGATGGCTTAGGTCTGCTCCTGCTACTGGCTGAGTGGGCTCCCCCGTGGGAGCGCACTGACCACCAGGGGGCAGCTCCTGCACTGAGCACCTGCCCCCTGGTGGCCAGTGTGCATCATAGCAGCCGGTTGTCCTGCCATTCAGTTGATTTGCATGTTAGCCTTTTATTATATAGGATTTGTGTTAGGAAACAAATAGAACGTTCTTAAAAGTTGGAAAGCACTAAGCCACCTGAGACCCTGACAGTCGTCCCTGCTGAGCCGGCCAGTGCGGTGGAGCTCCCCATTAGCGCTCCCCCTGCGGGTGCTGGGCCTGCACAGGGCAGGGACCCGCCAGCCCAGCCCTTTTTTAAAACGTGTCTTCATTGTTGGAAGTATTACAGATGCCCCTTTCTCCCCCCATTGGCCCTCCCCCCCCCTCCTCTCCCCTCCCTTCCCGCCCATTGTCTGCCCATGAGCCGTGTGTGCATATATGTTCATGGGCTCATCTCTTCACACACGTCCGTCTGCATGCTCCTGAAGCCCATTTTGAGTGGTTCTCGGGGTCTGGCGGGGAGCGCATTTGTGGGCAGACCACGGCCCCAGCCCCAGGCACCATGCTGCCCGGCCCAGTGCCAGCCTGCGGCCAGGACGGAGGGGCGGGGAGGGGCAGGCGGGGAGGGCAGAGAGTCCCAGGATGTCTCCCCTTCTCTGGTGCCTAGCACGGAGCTTTGATGTGAACGGGGTTGTGCTCTTTGTGGATTTTGTTACATTTTAACCCCCTTTTCTGAAGAGAAGCAAGAACTCATGTTTTCTTGTCCTCCCGACACTCAGGGGAGTTGGTAACAAGTGTTATTTTTCCGTTTAAAGATGAGAAAAATGAAGCTCGGGCTGGTTAAATGACTTGCTCAGCGTCCCATGGTGAGTCAGAACGGCTGGGGCTTCGGTGCCAGGCGGCCGGTGTCCGCAGGCCGGGATGGCTGTCCCCATGGGAACCGGTTCTAGAATGTGCTTTCCTGGGGCTGTCAGTGCATGTTCAGAAGGTGCCGCAGACCTCGGCTCTGGAGGTCCGGCTCTTAGTGAAGGCCCCCCCATCGGAGAGAGCTCAGGGCAGGGTCTCAGGGCATCAGGGCGGGCAGCCTTCCCTGGCCTCTCGGCGTTGCCCCCGCGGAGTCTCCTTCCTGCCGGTTTGGCGGCGCCTTTTATTTTTATAGCGAGTGCCAGGGAGGCCCCGGCCAGGCTGCAGCAGGGAGTCCGGAGCCCCCGTGCAGCCCGCGACCTATAGGTGCTGTGGCGGCCGAGCGTGCTTCTCGGGCTCACCCGCTCTCTTTTCTGTCTGACAGGCCTAGCCGCCTCCTGTCTCCTGCATGACGGGCGGCCCTCCAGCTCCCGCTGCCGCTGTTAGCGACCTAGGATTCTTGTCCGAGCTCCACCCTGTGACGGGCGTTCCTCTCGGTGCTGCTGTCCTCTGGGTCCTCTCTTATACGCGTAGCTTTGCCGGATATGTACTTAGTAATACAAACTGTACCAATAAAACTCGTTCTGTGTAACACATGAGCTTAAACGTAGAGCTAGCACTGTCCCTGGAAGGAAGTTAGAGGCGTCCGCGGCGACCGCCGTGGCCTCGGCTGTGGTAGGCATGTCTCCAGGTCCTCGCCGGCCCCCGCCCGGCGCCCCGGCTCCCGCTCCAGTAGCATCGCTGTGTAGTCTGTGTGGGAATTGGGCAGTTCTGCTTCTCTCTACTAATCTGTGTTGGTGACTGTGTACCTGTCTTTCTAACTTCTAATAAACTCACTCCAACTGACTGTCTCGTGTCTGTCTGCTCCGTGTGCCCCTCTCGGGCCTGGCGTGGCTCTCGGTGCGGCTGCTGCCCTCCCGCTGCGGGTCCCCCGGGAATACAGCTGTGCCTCGCCCTCCGGCTCTGCATGGCCCCGCACGCCGCGGGCCTGGCAGTGTCCGCGTGGACGGGACACGGCGGGCCTTCCTGCTCCCCGCGCGTGTCCCAGGGCCCAGCCGTCCTGTGGAATGAGCGTTCTGTTGACTTTCCAACACGCTCACACTCAGCGCTGATAAAGCTGTTAAACTGCCAGGCGCAGTGCTGCTGAGCGTCACACGTGACGGCGCTGGGAGGAGGCTGCCTCGGCTGGCGTCCGCCTGCGTGCTCACGGGGGTCGGAGTTGGTGGGGGTCACCGGGACTGGTCACCTTTGGTTTCTGAGCGGCCAACGGCTGCACCCTGTGGGAAGGTCTTTCTGTTGGAGCTTCTTCACGTTCAGAAGTCCTCACGGCCATTAGGTTGGCCTTGGTCACATTTGGAACGGGAGCCTCTGTGTCAAGTCCACTTACACGCATGGCGCGTGGTGACTTCTGTGGGGTGGGGGACGCCCTCCCGTGACAGGCCGTGGCCTCTGGCTCTTGTCACGTGGCTATCCCCGGGCGGGGCGGGGCCGGGGCCGGGGCCGGGGACGGGGTCGGGGTTGGGACGGGGTCGGTGATGGGGACGGGGTTGGGGTCAGGGACTGGGACGGCGTCAGTGACGGGGATGGGGTCGGGGACGGGGACCGGCCTCACCCGTGCTCCCGTCTCTTTCAGGACGGCACCGGCTCCCTGAGGCGCAGCGGCTCCTTCAGCAAGCTGCGCGCCTCCATCAGACGCAGCAGCGAGAAGCTGGTGAGGAAGCTGAAGGGAGGAAGTGCCCGGGACAGTGAGCCGAGGAGCTCCGGGTAACTATCCCCCGCCACCAGGCCTGGCCTTGCCTGTCGGAGGTGCAGGAGCCTGGCCCTCCCAGCGAGGCGCCTCCTGCCCAGAGGCTGTGGCTGTGGCTCCCAGGAGCGTGGCCTTGTCTGCGTAGATAGGCCGCTTTCTAAAGAGCGGCACGACAGTCCGCACAGCGTCTCCTCTGAGAAGTCCTGGCAGAGCCACTGCGGGAGGAAGGTGCTTTCCGCAGACGGACCGCCGCTGCAGGCTTTGGAACGTGAGGCTCGTGTGCCTAAGAGGGTTCGGCCACGGTCCTGGAACCTTTGAGCAGTGACTTCCGTGGCCGCAGGCGTTGGGTGCGAAGGAGCCCGGTTCCCGGGGGCAGCTGGGCGGGGTCTGCTGGTCTCGGGCCTGCATTTGATGCATTTCCCACAGAAGCACGGTTTTGTCAGCTCTTCCCTGAAACTCACTTTCTGGGTGGCACGTACATCTTACAGGTTGATTCTGAGTAAAACTCCTTTTATGTCTTCATCCTCACCGAGGACATGCTGAGAGAGGAACGGAGAGAGAACCATCCATGTGGGGGAGAAAACATGGATCGGTGGCCTTTCGTACGTGCCCTTGGGCACCCCCGGGCATGTGCCCCGAATGGGGATGGAACCAGCCAGCCAGCGGCGCCGCTCTGGTGGCCAGTAGGACTGTTTTGCAGGCGATCCCACTGGCGGGTCTGGGGACGAAGCTCACTTCTGGGGCTGAGAGCAGGCTCCTGGCTACATTGGCGACCAGGAGGTTAGGTGCCCACTCACGTGTTTCCTTCCCTTTTCTTGCCGTCCTCACCGGAGGTGCTTTCCCCTTGATTTCCCAGGACGGAAGGGGGAGGGGAGAGCGAAACAGGAGTGTAAGAGACACTGGATGGGTGGCCTCCACACCGCGCCCCGACCGGATCGAACCGAGGCCTCGGCGGGCGGGCGGCCCCCTCACCACACGCGCACGGCCAGGCGCCTCTGCCTGATCGCCCGCTCCTCGCTGGCCGGGGACCGGCAGGCATGCGGTCGGCCTCCCCGTGGGACGTGTGCCTTACAGGGCCTGAGGCAGGAGGGCGAGTGTTAGGAAGCGGCTGTTGCCGGCTTTGCCGCTCGGTGGCCTGAGCCCGGGGCGGCTGGAGAACCTGAGGAAGAGCCGGTGCGGGCCCGGCCGGGGAGGGGAGGGGAGGCGGCTCTGCCCACCTTTGGAGTGACATCCTCCCCTTTAAAGCTGCTGCTGTCCCCGCGTGTGGAGGAGCACTTTCTCAGAGCGGGTGCGGATGCAGACGGACAAGCCGTCTCTGCGGGCAGCACCGAGCCGGGGGCGCGGTGACCTGGACAGGCGCTCCGTCCAGGCCTCGTCCAGGGCACTGGCTGCTCGCTCCGGGGTCTGTGTGTGGGCGCTTTTCACTGCGAAGCCCAGTCCTGGCCTGATCCTGTGACCTGGGCCCTCCTTCCTGTCCGCACGTCTTCCTCCTCTTTCCCAGCGGTCACGGCGTGGGCACCGCGTGGCCCCCCCAGCCCGACAGCGCGTACTCTGACACATCAGGTGCAGGCCTGCCTGCGGGGACGCCCGGTGACCGCTGGGGAACGCTCAGTGACGTGGAGACTTCCCCCAGCCTCGCCGTGGCTCCGGTGGAGAGCGCGATCCCCATCCGCCAGGGCTGTGGGTTCGATCCCGCTCCGGGCACATGAACGAATGTCTCACATGGTGGGACGACAAAACCAACGTTTCTCTCTCCCTTCCTCGCTCTCGCTAAAATAGTGCATTTCCCACAAAGAGACTTGATCCCATAAGATATACGTCGTCTTTCCCCGTGAGGTGCCCGGTGAGGTGACAGCAGTAACTGGCCCTGTGGTCTTCACCGTGAGCATGCGCCAGCGCCTCCGGGCAGTGCAGACGCAGTCCTGAGTTCCGGCACCTTGTGCCCCCGCCCCCCGCCCCCAGCAGGCTCCCTGGTGGTAGCGCGCGGCTGGTCCGGCGACTGCAAACCGCGGGCCCGGCCGCGGGAGCAGGTGTGGGCGCCAGGCCCGAGCTCCCGGTCAGGTGGGTCTGCGGTGCCCGGCCGGGCAGGGCGAGGAGCCCGTTCCGTCTGTCCGGGGGATCAGGCTGTGTGGCTTTCCTGGGAAAGGCCGTTGGCCAGTGAGTAGCAGACGACGGGAGGTCAGGGCTCCCGGTGCTGCGGTTGGACGTGGCCCGTTTTGTCGTTTGGAGGGAGAGCCACGCCCGTGGGCTCAGCGTGCCCTGGTCCTGGCGGACAGCGGAGGGTCACTTGGCGGGGAGGGAGGGCTTTGCTTCTGCAGCTCATTCCGCGAGGACTTCGTGCTGCCGAGGGCCCGGGTCTGCCCTCAGCCCCCACGCTCCGGACGAGTCCTGGTGCAGACAGCGCAGCCCCGCCAGGGCGCGGTCACTTCAGCTCTAAAGCGACAGTGGCTGGTGGACGGCACCTGAGGTGGGAGCAGGTAGCGACTCCACGCCTGTCTGAGCTGGTTCAGTTGTAGGCGGTTTGGGTGTTCTGTTAAGGAGTGTAAGGTGTTGAGGGGAGAAAACTATATGTGTGAATTGCTTCCTTTAAACGTAAAGTCATGAAATGTGTTACACATTTTGGTTTATGAGCAGAGAATAGCATTAGACGTATTTTGCTAATGAAAAAATAGTCTTTAATGTAAAAACACCCCTCAGCGCGGCTCCCAGGAGAACGGACCGGGACTCTGCTGCCGGGCCATCCGCCAGGGGACAGCGCGCTGTGCCCTCGCAGGTTGGGAGGGTTAGGGGTGACGACTCCATGCCCAGGGCCCAGGCCTGCTGCCCGTCTCCCCTTCTCAGAGCAGGCGGTGTGCCCTGGGCCATGTGTTCCCGGGGGCCACCCTGAGGGCACACAGGCCCCACCCCTCAAGCGCCTGAACCAGAGCCCGAGGGCAGGGCGTGGGAGCAGGCTGCTGACCCAGCGGCCTTGTGGGGAGGGGTGCAGGCAGCTTGGTCCTGGGGTCCAAAAGCTGGGAGGGGTGTGTCATGTGACGGGACTCGGCGCTCACGGAGAATTGCGGACACGAAGGACCTGCATGTAGGGCAGGACCGGTCTCGCCATGTAGCGTGTTCTTGGAGTGGACGGTGCAGGCTTCATGGCACCCACTCATGTGCACACTTGGCAGCTGGTCACGGGCAGACCAGCTGGTCCCAAAGGAGCCGCCCCAGGGGGAATGTGGTCCCCAGCGGGGCTGACTGAGGGGGTGGGGTGGGTGCAGGTCTGACATGGGGGTGCTGAGGCCTGGGGGGGCAGGCTGGTGCTCCTTAGGGACTGGGCTCCTGGCCTGTGTGCTGCGCGGGCAGCCCTGGGTGGGGAGGGGGAGCAGATGACTGGGTCATTGGAAACGTCGGTTCTGGGGCTGTAGTTGTTCCCATTGTGACTTGACTAGAAAATCGTTTGCAATTGTTTGTATTTTGTTACAAAAATAAAGCTTCACTTCCCACTGCCTGTGAGGCCCCCACCTCTCCTGACGCTGCCAGCCCTGCAGGCGCCGCCTCCTCCACACCGGCCCCACCTCACAGGGCACCGGCCGGCAGGGGATGTGATGGCATTTAAATGGGCCACCTTGTCCCAGGAAGGTGTCCAAACAGCGGTCCCGTCCCAGGGGTGGCTGTCCCCTCGCGGTGAGGGTGGCAGAGGGTGTGGCAGGTCCTTGGCTGTTTGGTGCCCCCGTTTCAGGCGCCGCCTCTGGGGACGGGAGCAGGAGCGAGGGTCACTCAGAACCTGCCTGGCCAGGAGAGTCGCAGGGACAGGCCGTAGGGCACAGCAGACGGGTGGAGACGTGGAGACAGACTCGGCTCTGCCCACATGGGAGGCCATGCCCTCTAGCTGGGCAGCCGCAGCCCCTGGGCCCTGTGTCCACCAGCAGCTGGTCAGTCGCCTGGGGGCACCCAGAGGGGCAGGACCTGTGCTAGGGGGCCTGTTCTCCCGGGAAGCAACCTCCCCCGCCCCCCCCCTCCCCCCCCCCCCCCCCCCCCCCCCCCCCCCCGCCATGGCGAGGAGCTGGGCTGTGCGGCCCTGCAGGCGTCCAGCCGGGTCCCGCCAGCACCTAGGACGGGCAGGCCCGCCACTAAGGGAGTCCTGTGCCCGGGATGGGTTCTCCTAGCAGATGGGCCGGCTTCTCACAAGTCACTGGCGGCCGACCCAGCGGGGCGGGGGCAGAGACCACACAACGTGGAACCTCCCGGACCCGCTTCGGAGAGGGCCGGCTCCCAGGGCCGAGCTGACGGGAGAGCTGGCCGGAGGCGCACCTGGGAGGCCGGCGGCTGACCCGGTCAGCAGGACTGGGTCCCGGGCGTCCCTCGCACGCCCTCGGCGCAAACGGTGTAGGAACAGGAGGAGGGGGGCAGGTGGGGGGCGAAGACCACCCTCAGCGTGCGGCAGGGGCGGCCCCCCGGAGCTTCCTCGGGGCGCTGCCGGTCGGCCACCAGCCTCATGAGCAGCTGGTTGGACCAGGCGATGCCGAGGGCTGGAGCCAGGCGCTCCCCTGGGGCCCTGAGGCAGAGACGGCCGGTCACTCACAGAGCCAGGGGGCCCCGCCCCAGCCCCGCCCCCCCGCCCACGGCCACTCACCCGGGCACCGAGTCCTGTTCCTCCACGGCCTCCGTCACCTGGGAGGTGGGGCGGGTCAGTGGCAGAGCACCCCTGGGGGCAGGAGGGCAGGGGGGCAGGGGGGCGGGGGGGGGGCCCACCTGGTTGACACAGAGCACGGGGCTCCGGAAGGTGCAGCTCAGCCGGCGCAGCGCGGCCCCCAGCGCCTGCAGAGCCGGGGCCCTGCGCGCGGCCGCCGGCCCGGCGAACTCGCAGCGGAACGGGGCCGCCACCGAGTCGATGACCACCAGGCGCGCCAGCCCCCGCGCCAGCAGCAGTGGCACCTTCCTCCGCACGCACTCCAGCAGCGCGTCCTGGAACGGGAGGGGCTGTCCCCGCCTGTCCCCCACGCCTCCCGTCCTCCTCCCCAGGTCGTCCTCCTCCCCAGGTCCTCGTGGGCATGACCCTCCCTCAGCGGCCGTGCGCCTGGTGCTGACCCCGGGCCCTGGCCCGTCCCCCGGCAGCTGGCACCATGCCGGTGCCTCAGGCCGGGGCGCCCTGAGCCTGGCGGAGGTGGAGGGGGCAGCAGGACGGGTTTGGTCTCCTCACTCAGCCCTGCCTGGGACGAGGGGACCCCGGGCCACGCCTAGGCTGCACACTGGGGCCGTGCATGGCCAGGGTGGGGCTGCCAGTGATGTGAGCCAGCCCAGCCACCCTGCAGACTGTGCTCCCAGCAGCCGGCCCGGTGGGTGAGGGCCAAGCCGGCTGGGCTCCTCAGGCTGCCCCCTGGTCACTTGGCCTGCTGGCGGGACTCAGGCCCAGCTCTGGGCAGCCAAGCCCTGCCCCTCAGACTCTTCGGAGCGCCCGGGGTCCTCGCCCTGACTTCGGCCTGGCTGTCTGCTTGTTTGCAGGGTCCCCCCGGAAAACGACAGCGGCGGCAGCGGGGTCGAGGACGCCAGTGTGAATGTGAGTCACGGGGCGGGCGGGGCCCGGGCACCCGGAGGCCTCCGGGCAGACACCGGGCAGAGGGCGTGGGCCCGGCGCTGACCGCAGCGTCTCCCGCAGTGAGCCACCGCCGAGGGCCAGGCACGCCGCCCTGTGACAGCCGGCACCTCCGCGGCTGGAGGCCCCGGAGCGAGCTGCAGCGTGGACCTCCTGACCGCACCCTGCCCGGCGGCCATAACCACCTGCCACGGCATCCCCCCTCACTGTGTGATACTGTACTTTATTGTAAATTTTCTAAAATTAAAAAGTTTATGTCTATTATGGATGTGAAGTTCTTTGTATGACAGCTCTCACAGCAGGAAGCCAGGCGGAGGGAGAGCCCCCACCTCCCGTCCCTCCCCTGCCGTCCCGCTCACCGCCGCCTCCGCCAAACCATGGCCCAGGGAAGTGCGCAGCGTGGCGGCCGCCTCCCTCAGACGGGCTGGCGCTGGCAGACACTCACCACGTCGGCCACGTGCTCGATGAAGATGTGGTCGCCGAAGCGCATCTCCTCCAGCTCGTGGCCCGGAGCGTCCGTCCGCAGACGCCGCTGCTGCGCCATGAGCTGCTGCAGGCGCCGGTCGGGGAACGCGTCCTCGGTGCACACGTACACGGCCCCTGTGGAGCGCGGCGCCGTGAGCCACAGGCACGTGTGCGGCCCCACCCAGGGACTTGCTGCTGGCCCGGGCCTCTGGGCCCGTGTGGGGCAGGGCTGGCCACTCTTCCTGGAGGCATCGCACAGCCACAGGGAGAAAGACAGACCGCAGGAGCCAGCCCTGTCCCAGCCACGACGGGCAGTGGCCACACACACACACACACACACACACACACACCCCGCTCTGGGGCGGCACTCACCGGCCTCCAGGCCTCCCAGCCGCCGCGGGAGCTGCACGGCCAGGCAGAGCTGTAGCGCCAGCTGGGTCTTCCCCACCGAGCTGCGGCCGGCCAGCTCGGTGATGCCGCCCAGGGGCAGGCCGCCGCGGAGCAGCCCGTCCAGCACCGGGCAGCCCAGGCTCAGGCGCTGGTGCTGCTCGGGGAAGCGCCCCTTCTGCTGCTGCAGGTCCAGTGCTGGGGGGAGCGCCGTGTCAGGAGGGCAGAGGCCGGAGGGCCAGGGGTGCAGCCAGGAGGCCCTCCCGGCAGCGTGTCCTGCTCCGGCACCCTCCGCCTCGCCCCTCCCGTCTGGCCCCAGCACTGCCCCTGCCTGCGGTCTCTTCTCACCGAGTCCCTGCCCGTGGCCCAGCCTGGAGCTGGCACAGACGGGAGGAGGCCCGGGGCCTGGCAGAGCACGCCTGCCGCCCACCTGTGCAGAGGCTGCCTCCCCGCAGGTGCCAGCTGACCGTCCTGAGCAGGTGCTGCGCGTCGGGGCCTGAGAGGCCGGCCAGCCGCTGCAGGTCTGGTCCGGAAAAGTGCAGCACCTCCTTCACGGATGCCAGTTTGGCTGGAATTAAACAAAGTAAGCCACAGGTCAAGATCAGACGATACTAAGAGAGCAGGGACTCGGGAGCACTGTTTCAACTCTGGGGGCTCCAGGGGCAGGGGCCGGACCATCTGCTCCCCCGAGGTGGCAGCCCTGGGCAGAGTGAGGACACAGGACAAGGAGGGAGGGGTCTGGAGCAACCCTCTCAGCTGCAGCAGCGAAGCCAGGTGGGTGAGGGTGCAGGGCCTCTCCCACGTCCTTCCTGCCAGCCAGCAGGGGCTGGTGCTGGGCACCCAGGAAGCAGGTGGGCAGCTGGGCGCCCTATGGGCACCTGCAGGGGCCTGGCAGACTGGGAGAAGGTGGGAGACTTGGAGGAATGCAGGGCATGGGAAAGGAGGCAAGGACCAACTACCATCGTGGGGGAATGAGACGGTCACCCCACCCCAGTCCCTCACACCCCCGAGTGGGCGCGGCCAGTGTGGTCCATAGGGGCTGTGGGCGCCACGGGCACAGGCACAGCCTGGCGTTCAGAACCCGGGGTACGGACAGGGCTCCATGGCGAGTGGCTACAGTCACTGCTGACCACCTGCATGTGCTACGTGGGTGAAAATGAACTTAAAAAAGTGCTTTCAGCCACACACCCCAGCGTCCTCGCAGGACCCAGAGCAGCCGCGGGGCGGGGCCGTGGGAGCAGGGGGCGCGGGAGGCCTTACAGAAAGTACAGTGTCTGCGTGTGCGTACGCTGCGCACCAGCGCCAGGAAGTCTACCTCTCTTCACTGCAGCGACGATTCTGGGGTTCAGGTCCAGCTGGTCCCAGTCCATTTCTTCAGGGCGGGGACCGCAGAGACAGTTTCCGGGGACACAGGTTCTGGGCGCCAGCGTCAGCCTGATGGCCCAGCGGCCCCTGAGCAGGGCAGGGCTAAGGCAACACCTGTCGGAGCCGCCATCTGGTAACAGAAACCTTGGCACGGAAGAAACCCCCAATTCCTGTCACCACAGCACCCCGCTATCCAGTCCCCGGCTCCCTTCAGCCGGCCCCGCCCTCCCTCCCCGGGGGAGGACAACCTGCAGACCCTGGGCTCATGCACAGAAAGAGTCTTTTGTATCCTCTGTTTTAATTTCCCTCCAATGCGTTTCCCTGGGGAATCTGGAAAGAGCGGGAAAGCGTTAGGCATCTTGCAGGGTGCTGGGGGAGGGTGGGTGTTGGAGCGTGGCCACCGGTCTGTCGCTCCGGGCTCGTTCTCAGCCCTTGCCGCGAAGGTCTGCACTCACACCGGCAGCAGCACCGCTGCCCTCTCCCTGCGCCCAGGGGAAACGGACCCACAGTGGTCCCGCAACCCCGAGGGCCACACAGCCAGCCCGGGACAGCTCCAGACGGCATGCCTTCAGCCCTTGACCGGTATTAGCCTCCTGTTCCTCCAGCGGACACTGCTCCCTCTGCCCACTCTGAACCCCAGGCACTCAGAGGCCCACCTGCTCAGGGCCTGCCCACCCTCTGGACTGGGCATCTTTCCTACCCGCCAGCGAGGACCTGCGGGGTCCGCGGAGGCCACCCCTCCTCCCACGCTTGGACCCTGGGTCTCCTCCCTCCCCTGGGAACCCCCTCTCTTTTCAGCCCCAAAGCCGTGAGCACTCCCCACCCCCAGGGACCCCCTGACCCGGGCGTCCGCGTGGCCCTCCCGATGGCCCCACCTCCCCACCGCGCACCTGTTCTCCCCACCGCACACCCCTTCTCCGTGGTGTCCACCCACCACCCTGGACCCCACTCTGTCTCTACCTCGAACACACCCCAACTTCACGCGGTCCGGGCTCACCTCTCCCCCCACGAGCCCCGGGCTGCTGCCATCGCCCCAACCGGGGCTGGGCTGCGCCGCCTCCTCCAGACCCTGCGTGTGGCAGCCCCAGCATCAGCCTTCTCCCCGCGCACCGGGCCCAGGCCGCCTCCCACCGCGGGACTGTGCCCCGACTGCGCCTCCGCCGCCGCCAGGCCCGCACCCCCAGCGCCCGGCCCGCACCCCCTGCACCCGGCCCGCAGGACAGCAGCTCCCACCTCGCGCGCGCGCTCCACCATTAGCGTCGTCCCGCCCCTCGCGGCCTCCTCTTCCAATGAGCGCCAGGCGCCCCGCGCGGGATACGCCAATCAGAGAGGAAGCAGCGTTACGTCACAGGATAACCGACCAATCCAAAGTCTCAATCGCCCCGAGAGGGGCGGAGCGTGCCTGGGCTGGCCCTCTCTGCCGATTGGTGACTGACCTCAGGGTGGCAGGGGCGGTGCCCTTGCGCAGATTGGAGAGCCCAGCGATGGGGCGGAACCCGAGCTCCGATTGGCCCGAGCTCCAGGCCGAGCGTGCCGATTGGGCGCGGGCGCTGTCAGCGGCACGGACAGGGCGGGGCTTTGGTCGGGGCGAACGAGGGCAGTGTGAGGGCGGTGGGCTCGCGCGGCGGCGTCATGTCCTCCGAGGTGGCCGCCCGCTGCGACGCCAAGAAGTTGGTGCGCTCGCCCAGCGGCCTGCGCATGGTGCCCGAGCACCGCGCCTTCGGCAGCCCGTTCGACCTGGAGGAGCCGCAGTGGGTCCCCGACAAGGAGGTAGGTCTCGGCCGCCCGCCCGCCCGCCTCCCGTCGGCGCCCTGGACTTGGGTCCGCCTCCAGGACCCCCTCCGTACCCCGAAAACCCGCGTCCGCCTCCAGGGCCCCCTCCGTACCCCGAGAACCCGCGTCCGCCTCCAGGGCCCCCTCGGTACCCCGAGAACCCGCGTCCGCCTCCAGGGCCCCCTCTGTACCCCGAGAACCCGCGTCCGCCTCCAGGGCCCCCTCCGTACCCCGAAAACCCGCGTCCGCCTCCAGGGCCCCCTCCGTACCCCCAGAACCCCGGTCCGCGCCCTGGAACCCGGTCTGCGCCCAGGATCCCCGTCCCCACCCCCCAGGCGCGCCCGGACCCGCCCCGCCCGAGGCCCTCCCCGGCCCGGCCGGCTCTCGGCTCCCCGCGCCCCGCGCCCCGCGCCCCTCCGGCCCCCGCGCGGCCGCCCCGCACCTGCTCTGGCCCCTGGGTGGTCCCAGGCTCCCGGACCCCTGGGTGCTGCCAGTTCCCGCTCTCGGGGCGCCCGGAGTCCCCATCCCGCCCGCCCGAGTCTGTGTGTCCCTTGCACGGGGCTCCCCTCCAGCCCAGGCCCCCTCTCCGGGGAGCCCCCTCTCCCCCTGGCGGGCTCTGGGCGTCTGAGTGCCCGCCTGTGGGCGACACCCAGCCCCTCCCTCCCGGAGGAGTGAAGTCGGGGTTTCAAAGCAGCCGGGTGAGGGGGGCAGCGGGGGGCAGGGTGGGCCCGAGCCCTGGTGTAGGTGCTGGGGGCACCCCTCAGAGCTGAGGCCCGCAGGACGGGGAGTGCTGGGCCGGTGGTGGGGAGGCGGCCGCTGAGCGCCGGCTGCCCTGTCTCCTTGCCCTGTTGCGCCCTTTCTTGTCGGCGTTCTGCCGGCGGTGGGTGCTCTGAGCGGCGGGTGCCCTGAGCGGCGGGCGGGGTGCCCTGAGCGGCGGGTGCTCTGAGCGGCGGGTGCCCTGAGCGGCGGGCGGGGTGCCCTGAGCGGCGGGTGCTCTGAGCGGCGGGCGGGGTGCCCTGAGCGGCGGGTGCCCTGAGCGGCGGGTGCTCTGAGCGGCGGGTGCCCTGAGCGGCGGGTGCCCTGAGCGGCGGGTGTTCTGAGCGGCGGGTGCCCTGAGCGGCGGGTGCTCTGAGCGGCGGGTGCCCTGAGCGGCGGGCGGGGTGCCCTGAGCGGCGGGTGCCCTGAGCGGCGGGTGCTCTGAGCGGCGGGTGCCCTGAGCGGCGGGTGCTCTGAGCGGCGGGTGTTCTGAGCGGCGGGTGCCCTGAGCGGCGGGTGCTCTGAGCGGCGGGTGTTCTGAGCGGCGGGTGCCCTGAGCGGCGGGTGCCCTGAGCGGCGGGTGCCCTGAGCGGCGGGTGCCCTGAGCGGCGGGTGCTCTGAGCGGCGGGTGCCCTGAGCGGCGGGTGTTCTGAGCGGCGGGTGCCCTGAGCGGCGGGTGTTCTGAGCGGCGGGTGCCCTGAGCGGCGGGTGCCCTGAGCGGCGGGTGTTCTGAGCGGCGGGTGTTCTGAGCGGCGGGTGCCCTGAGCGGCGGGTGCCCTGAGCGGCGGGTGCTCTGAGCGGCGGGTGCCCTGAGCGGCGGGTGTTCTGAGCGGCGGGTGCCCTGAGCGGCGGGCGGGGTGCCCTGAGCGGCGGGTGCCCTGAGTGGCGGGTGCCCTGAGCGGCGGGTGCCCTGAGCGGCGGGTGCTCTGAGCGGCGGGTGCCCTGAGCGGCGGGCGCCCTGAGCGGCGGGTGTTCTGAGCGGCGGGTGCCCTGAGCGGCGGGTGCCCTGAGCGGCGGGTGCCCTGAGCGGCGGGTGCTCTGAGTGGCGGGTGCCCTGAGCGGCGGGTGTTCTGAGCGGCGGGCGGGGTGCTCTGAGCGGCGGGTGCTCTGAGCGGCGGGTGCCCTGAGCGGCGGGTGCCCCTTCCCTCCCGAGCCCTCCAGCCCCGCAGGGAAAGGCCGTCAGAGGGAGAGGCGGCGGTCACGGGGATCCGCCGGGGACGGCAGGAACTGGGAGGCAGTGGCCGGGAGGAGGCCAGCGCGTCCCCTCCGAGGCGGGGGGCGGGGCCACACCCTTAGGAACTGCCGGCGTCACTGCCATCCCCTGTGCCATCCCCTGTGCCATCCCCGGGCGTCTCCCCGCTCTGGACCCCTTTCTCTCACTGCCCCGTGGAGCCGGTGCTGCTGGGCCGAGGGGCCGTGGCCGGGCGCCCCTGGTTTCCCCGGAGGCAGGTCCCCAGCTCACGGCGGGTCCCCGCTCCCAGCCCCTGGCCGTGCTCTGGCTGCCCCGCCCTGCAGGCCTGCAGGCAGAATTCAGCCGGGGGGGGGGGGGGGGTGCCTGGAGGCCTGCCCGGCGGCCAGGGAGCCTGCTCAGCCCGCAGGCTCTTGCGAAATTCCGAGCGAGTTGGGCGAAGACTCTGTTCTGTGGGCGCCCCTCCCCCCGCTTCCTTCCCACGCTGGCCGGAGGGCGGGCCCTGGGAAAGGAGGTGTCCTCCCGGCCGGGCAGTGCCAGCTGTCACGCTGGGCACTCGCCGGCAGGGCTGGGGCTCCCCCTCATGGAGGCCGCGTGGGAGAGGCTCCTGGGGTGGTTTGCGGGGTGGTAGGTAGCCGGAGGCAGGAGGGGCTGTGACCCGGGCCCGTGGGGGCCTTTCTGGGCTTTTCCTGCCTGTGGCCCGCTTCCCGAGTGGGCCCGGGCCTCACGGGGGGGCGGGACAGGGGGAGCTGTGTGGCGCCCGGGGGGTCAGCCCCTGACGGCTGTGGGGCCCGCAGCCTGGTGCCCGGAGGAGCTGAGCAGCTGGATCTGACATTGCAGTGCGGGGGGAGAGGGGGGTCGCAGTGGGCCCTAAGCTTGAGCACTCCGTCCCCCCAGGTAGCAGTTCTGGGCACTGCCTGCCGTGCTGCTCCCTCCCTTCCTCTCGGATCTCCACCTGTTGCTTCATTTCCTTCTCTCGTTCTCTTTTCGAATTAAATGTCTCTGTTGATAATTTCACGTTTCTCTCTTACACGGTCAACGGGAAATCACCTGGCTTAAGGTCTGTCGGTTTTCTGAATAACCTCATTGGTTATTTAGCGGGTAAAATACTTCTGTATCACTTTGGTGTTTTGCTCGTTTGTTACTCCTCACCCTCTGTATTTTTTCCATTGATCCTTTTTCAGAGAGAGTGGGGGGAGGGGGAGAGAGAAACAGCAGAGTGAGAGAAGCACATTGATTGGTTGCCTCCCCCGCCCTGCCCAGGGCCAGGGATGGAGCCTGCCATGAAGCTGCATGCCCTTGACCAGACTCGAACTCGGGACCCTTCAGTCCACGGGCCAACATTCTAACCACTGAGCCAAACCAGCTAGGGATTCGCTTTGGTTTTTAAGGGAGCAGCTTGTAAGTTCAGAGGTTGGTCTTTGGACTTGCCCAGACACGTGCCCTGCAGTGACCGGCGGGAGGACACAGGCTCGCCCGGAGCTGTCACACTGGTGGGACCCGCTCCCGCCTGCGCCTCTCCCGTCCGCCAGCCTCCTGGTTACAGCCGTGGGCTCTCCCCGTGGGTGGGCCCGTGCTGGGGGTGTCGTCCCGGGAGGGAGCCGCCAGCCCACGCGGAGGCTGTGGGGACGCTGTGTGGGAGCCGGGAGGGCCAGGCCGTGTCCGCGCCCAGGAAGTAGCCCAGAGGAAGGAGGGCCGCAGGGTGACTCAGTGGCTGCAGCATCGTCCTGGACACCAGACAGGTTGCGGGGTCAGTCCCTGGTCAAGGCGCATACACGAGGCAACCGACCGACGTTTCACTCTTTCTCCCTTCCTCTCCCAAACCGACAGGACAGGGCCTCGGGTGGGGTTTTAAAAGCAGAGGAAACGGGATGGTCACGGGTCTCGCCCGCCGCCGCCCGCTCCCGGAGACCTGCCTCTCTGCCTCCCGGACGCTGAGAGCCCGGCAGGCCCTCGGAGTGGCTGACAGCTGCCCTCTCTCCTAGTGCCCGCGGTGCATGCAGTGTGACGCCAAGTTTGACTTTCTCACCAGAAAGGTGAGCTGAGGCCCCGGGCGGGAGGGGCGTCCGGACATCCGCTCTCCCCGGGGCGCCCTGCTCTGAGCAGTGGGGCGCAGGCAGCGGTGGGTGTCCCGCCGTGGCAGCAGGGCCGTGGGCCCGGGTGGGGCCCTGTGGTCCCGCTGACCGCCCGCCGCCCCCACGCCCCCAGCACCACTGCCGCCGCTGCGGGAAGTGCTTCTGCGACAAGTGCTGCGGCCAGAAGGTGGCGCTGCCGCGCATGTGCTTCGTGGACCCCGTGCGCCAGTGTGCGGCCTGCGCGCTCGTGTCCCGCAGGGAGGCCGAGTTCTTCGACAAGCAGCTCCGCGTGCTGCTCAGCGGTAGGTGGCCGCGCCTGGTGGTCCTGGTGGTGCCAGCAGAGGGCGGTGCCAGCGGAGGGGGCGGTGCCAGCGGAGGGGCGGAGCCTGAGGAGGGGCGGTGCCTGAGGAGGGGCGGTGCCTGAGGAGGGGCGGTGCCTGGAGAAGGGCGGTGCCTGGGGTGAGGGGGCGGTGCCTAAGGAGGGGCAGTGCCTGGGGTGAGGGGGCAGTGCCTGGAGAAGGGCGGTGCCTGGGGTGAGGGGCGGTGCCAGTGGAGGGGGCGGTGCCAGCGGAGGGGGCGGTGCCTGAGGAGGGGCGGAGCCTGAGGAGGGGCGGAGCCTGAGGAGGGGCAGTGCCTGGGGTGAGGGGGCGGTGCCAGTGGAGGGGCGGTGCCTGGAGAAGGGCGGTGCCTGGGGTGAGGGGCGGTGCCAGCGGAGGGGCGGAGCCTGAGGAGGGGCGGTGCCTGGAGAAGGGCGGTGCCTGAGGAGGGGCGGTGCCTGAGGAGGGGCGGTGCCTGGAGAGGGGCGGTGCCTGGGTTGAGGGGTGGTGCCTGGAGAAGGGTGGTGCCTGAGGAGGGGCGGTGCCTGGGGTGAGGGGGCGGTGCCTAAGGAGGGGCGGAGCCTGAGGAGGGGCGGTGCCTGAGGAGGGGCGGTGCCTGGAGAAGGGCGGTGCCTGATGAGGGGCGGTGCCTGGAGGGGGGCGGTGCCTGAGGAGGGGCAGTGCCTGGGGTGAGGGGGTGGTGCCTGAGGAGGGGCGGTGCCTGGATAAGGGCGGTGCCTGAGGAGGGGCGGTGCCTGGAGTGAGGGGCGGTGCCTGAGGGGGCGGTGCCTGAGGGGGCGGTGCCTGCAGCTGTCCCCAGGAACGCTGCCTAGGGTAGGAGCCAGCTCTTCCACAGATGCAGACAGGCCTGAACCACTGTCTCCCTGTGTGGGGTTTGGGCCTCTAGCTCAGCGTTTTTCAACCGCTGTTCCGCGGCACACTAGTGTGCCGCGAGATGTTGCCTGGTGTGCCGTAGGTGCAGACAAGACAAGAATTTTATAATTTTTCACTATTTTGTTTACTTAATATTTCATAATAAAGTAATTATAAAATATTTTCTTTGTGTTTATTTGATTCCTATTCAAGAGAATTACTTTATATATAGTCAATATAGGCACAGAGTTAAATTTTTTAACATTTTCTAATGGTGGTGTGCCTCGTGATTTTTTTCATGAAACAAGTGTGCCTTTGCCCAAAAATGGTTGAAAAACACTGCTCTAGCTGGTATGCTATCCGGTGGGGCCCAGGCCCGAGCAGCTCGGTTCTTACTCGGGTGCTAGGACCGGGTCCCCAGACCACAGGGCCAGCAGCATGCGGGACCTTGGCCTGGGCATTTTGGGAGGTGGTGAGGCAGGAGGACTGAGGGTCTGCCGCCCGTACCCCTCCACCTCCTCCTGCCTGGTCCTTGCCCTGGCCAGCTCTCCTGCAGGCCTGCGTGGGCCCTGCGGCCTGGCCTGGTGGCTCCTGCGGGGGGTGGAGGTCTGGGCCGGGGCTGGGCCTGCCTGTGAAGGGCGTGGTGGCTGGTGCTTCCATGGCCAGTGGAGCTAACAAGCACCAGTGCTGTCCTGCCTGGCGCGGGCTCTGGCAGCGCCCGCTGTCTGGCTCCTCTCCTCCCTCCGTGGCCACAGCGGGCGCACTGTGCCCTCCAGGGGCTCCTGCGGCCTCCAGCTCTCTTGCCCCAAAGGGCGGGTCGTCTCCGTGGAGCCTGAGGCAGGGTGGAGGGCGGGCTGACAGGGTGACACTGCCTGGTTCTTACGCTTGTTTTTGTGCCTCAAGGAGCCACCTTCCTCGTAAGTTTTGGAAACTCCGAGAACTCAGAAACGATGGTTTGTCGTCTCTCCGGCAACCAGAGGTAAGAGGCAGAGCCCGCGGGCGCCGACAGCTGCCCAGAGCCTTGGTGACGGGACGCCCTCCGTTTGACAGATACCTGCTGCTGGACGGGGCCAGCCACCACGAGATCCAAGTCACACACATCGCCGCGGTGCAGGTCCTCACGGAGGGCTTCCCCGCTGGAGGTGATGCGCCTGCCCCTCACGGGACGGAGGCGGGACACAGCAGGGGCTCCCTGTGGGCAGGTCGGGGTCCTGTGGTCTGGTCCCTGTGGGCAGGTCAGAGCTCTCCTGTGGTCGGGCTCCCTGTGGTCGGGCTCCCTGTGGTCGGGGTCCGTGTGGTCGGGGTCCCTGTGGTCGGGCTCCCTGTGGTCGGGCTCCCTGTGGTCGGGGTCCCTGTGGTCGGGCTCCCTGTGGTCGGGGTCCCTGTGGTCTGGTCCCTGTGGTCGGGGTCCCTGTGGTCGGGCTCCCTGTGGTCGGGGTCCCTGTGGTCGGGGTCCCTGTGGGCAGGTCAGAGCTCTCCTGTGGTCGGGGTCCCTGTGGTCGGGGTCCCTGTGGTCGGGCTCCCTGTGGTCGGGGTCCCTGTGGTCGGGCTCCCTGTGGTCGGGGTCCCTGTGGTCGGGGTCCCTGTGGGCAGGTCAGAGCTCTCCTGTGGTCGGGCTCCCTGTGGTCGGGCTCCCTGTGGTCGGGGTCCCTGTGGTCGGGGTCCGTGTGGTCGGGGTCCCTGTGGTCGGGCTCCCTGTGGTCGGGGTCCGTGTGGTCGGGGTCCCTGTGGTCGGGGTCCGTGTGGTCGGAGTCCGTGTGGTCGGGGTCCGTGTGGTCGGGGTCCCTGGGGGCAGGTCGGGGCTCTTCTGTGGCTCCAGGAACTCTCCAGGCGAAGGGGGGACGGGGCGCAGCGAGTGCAGGAGGAAGGGGCACCTGCGCGGGTTGCCCAGAAGCCCCCTGTAGCGCCCGGCCACGGGTGCAGGCACGTGGGGCTGGCCGCCCCGGATCCCAGGGGCTGGAGCGTGTCGGCGAGGGCCAGGCCTCCGCTTCCCTCCGCGAGCTCCCCAGGTCCGGCCTGCTCAGCCCGGCGGACCTTCCCGCTGAGTCCTGGGCCCGGGCTGTCTCTCCGCGGAGCCGCCCACTTACTCCGTCTTGCTTTCTGTTTCTATGGCTCTGGCTGCTCTCCTCTCCCGCCTGCCTACCTTCCTGCCTAGACAAAGACACGCACACTTACACCAGCCTCCTGGGGAGCCTGCCCGCCTCCGAAGGTCAGCCTCGCGCTCCCAGCATGCCGTGGGCCCGGCCCACCTCTGCTTCTGCCAGGGTGGGGGGTCACACGAGGGCCTCTGAGAAACGCTCATTCACTTTCCTGGTCACTTTGAAAGAGGGTTGGGTCAGAGATGTGGGCATCTAAGCACCAATGAGACTGTCCCGGGAAAGACGTGGGTTTGCGGTTTTCCTAACCCAAGGGGGTGTGTCACCCCCCTTTCCGACCTCTCCTTGGAACTGCTGTTCCTGAGCAGCTGGGGTGCAGGGTGTCGGAGTGGGGCGAGGGTGGTGCTGCCAGCACCTTTCTGCCCGTCACAGCAGTGCACTGTGCTCCTCCAAGGGCCCTCTGCGGCCTCTGGGCTTGCCTGACCCGACGAGGCAGCCGGGCAGTGTCACCACCTAGTCCCTGGCTGGCTTGGCAGTGGGCACTCTGATCTGCTCCGGGGCCAAGGGCAGGATCTGGAGAAGCTGGGTCAGGTCAGCCCAGGGGCCCTCTCCCCCGCCTCCTTGGAGCCTGAGACCAGGGAAGTCAAGGCCGCCCCTAGTAGTAACTATTCAGCTTTGCCAGCCGGAGGAGACGGGCCCACGGCCATGGCTGTGCCAGTGAAACTCCTTAGAGGCAGGAGGTGGGCGGAGCCCAGACTGACCGGAGCGCAGGAGTGACCTCGGGACAGGTCATAGGTGGTCTTCGGGCCTCTCAACCGGGGCTCCTCCTGCCGGCCTGGTGCAGAGAGGGGCTGGAGGCAGGGGCGGCCTCCTGCAGCCGCCAGGGAGTGCAGGTGACTCCTGAGGACCTGCTGTCCACATGGCCATCCTCACTGTTGGGTACAGAAGGGCCCCTGATCCTGAGTGGCCGGTTCGGAGAGGTTTTGACAGGAGTGGTCCAGGGAGCAGCTGGCCTCACAGAAATGGCACCATCTCAGCGCCCACCCCCCACATGGCCTCATGGCGGGAGCTCAGTATCTGGGTAGAGGTGTCCCTGGGCTGGTGACCGGGTGCTGGTGCCTCCCTGGTGCTAAGCCCTGTGCAGCCCCCTCGGCTGTGACCCTGGTCCTCAGGGAGGGCAGCACTGACCGCATGGCCTCTGCCCTGGTGCAGGAGGTGTGACTGAGCAAGGCCCAGCCACCTCTTAGACCTGCACCAGGGCAGGAGGCACCCTGGCCACACCTGGTCTCCGTCTGCCGCCTCCCCCCCCAGGGGGCGCCGCTCGCGCCACAGGCATGTCCCTGCAGTTCTCGACACCAGGGGCGGAAAGCGTGGTCCAGCTGAAGCTGACTGCAGGGGAGGATGCACATGGCAGCAGGAAGCAGGCGATGGCATGGCTGGCAGCCATGCACAAGGTACGGGGCTGAGGTGGTTGGCACTGGGAGACTGGCTCCTACTGAGAGGGCCCAGCTTCCCCAGGGCAGGACTGCCCCCACCCAGCTCCAACCAGCCCGGCCCGGCCCCGTCACATTGCTGTTTCTGGTTGCCATGCAGGCCGCCAAACTCCTCTACGAATCTCGGGACCAGTAACTGCACAGGCCAGCGGTCCGCGTGGACATGGAGCCGGCTCGCTGCCTCGCCCTGATCCCACGCGTGGTGGGAAGGCAACGCGAGACTGGAGGACAGACGTGTCCCCTTACCCAGTGCGATTCGCCCGCGTTTATTAACATGCCGGCTTCCGGCTTCCGGCCGTTTTCCTGTTGAAGCCTCAGTGGGTGGAGGCCCAGCTACACTACCGCTAACTGTCTGTAGCATAATCTTTGCCACGTGTTTGAGTCCAGGTTTACTAGGAGGTTCTGGACCCTCCTCTTCGTGAATTCTCACGGCGCCCGGCCCTGCAGCGGCCCCAGTGCCTGCGGGGGTCACTGACACTAACGCGGCTCTCAAGCCTCTGACACTTCACTGCGGGGAGGAGCGGCTGTGCTGTACTTTTCACTCCCCGTCTCACTTTATTAGAACAATTGTACATCCGTTTGTATGTAAAGCTTGATTAAACCTATTTTAACAATACGGCCTGGCCTGGCCTCACTGTGGGGCCCGCCGGGCGTCCTGCGGCGGCTCCGCTCACTCAGACAGACTCGCAGCCGCGGGGAGCAGTTTATTGTGCACATCACGCGGCATCAGGGGCCGGTGCCCGGCAGAGGCTGCCCGGGTCTTCACCCCATCAGTGCCGTGCACGCTCAGTGCTTACAGGGGACCATACAGCATGGGTCTATACACACGTCTATACATAGTGATACACGGACTCGTACGTGGAAATAAAGCCTGGGGCCTGGGACCGAAGGAGACACCGCGCGCCTCCAGTGCCATCTGTAGTGAACGCTCACTTTTGGGGTAAAGGTTCGCGCAGCTGCCTCCAGTGGTGGGTCTCCTCTGGGGACGTCTGGACCTGCCAAGGTCACGGCACCACGCCTGGCCCAACGGGGAGGCCCACCCTCATGCCCACAGCTGTCCCTCCCGACAACCCTGCCACCCAGTGACCGACCTCAGGTCTCGGCCTGCACTGCACTTGGGGTCCCACCCAGCCCCAATGTTTCCGGTTCCCGTGAATGAATGGAAAGCCGAGGGCTGAGGGGGTAAGAACCACACCTGGGCAGCAAGAGGCAGCGGGCAGAGGAGGGGGGCTCCTGGCCACTCCCTTGGTCTGTGGTCCCTGCCGGGGCCTGAAGCCGCGCCCCATGGGCGGGGACAGGAAGTGGAGCCCCCGCAGGCTCCTCTGTCATGAAGGAAGATCCTCGTGCTGAGGGGCCCAGCAGAGACGGCAGGGCTCGGGGAGCACGCACAGCAGCGGGCGTGTGAAGGACATGGAGCATGAGGGCGGCCTTGGGGCCACCGTCCGGGGTTCACTCTAGGGCTTCCACTGGCCACAGGCGTAGGAAGCCGGGCATTTATTGGGGTGACAGTCACTGGAAAGCTCAGTCCTCTGGAGGCGGCGGCCTCCGGAGCCTGCAGTTCACATTGTGGGTTCTGCTGCGTGAGCACCGAGACTTCAGCCTCCGCGGCAGGGACGGCAGGGCCCTCAGTGCTCCTCGGCGGCTCAGGCCAGCGTTCGCTGCCGGGGCTTGATCCGAGGACACAGCTGGAAAGACGGGCATCCGGTCAGCTTCTGTCAGCCACCCGCAAGGCCCTGCCCGACAGCCTGAGCGCCAGCACCCAGCCCCGCTCCACCCGGCACGAGACCCTGCGACCTGCAGGCTGCTCCCCTCCTCCCCACCTTCCCAGTGAGCTAGATTCTGGGCTGCAGAGCTCTGATTGGGGTGAGACGGGGTGCCGCACGAGTGGCTGGGCTGGGGCTGGGCCTCCCACAGGGCGGAGGGCTGAGCGCGGGGAGGGCAGCGCCTGCCCGGGCCCCAGCTGCCTCTGGCACGAGCTCGGTGCGGCTGCGCACTCACCCCCAGCAGGTTTCTGGGCACGTAGCCCTCCCGGTCCCCCAGGCGGGCCCACCACCACTCGGTCTCGTGCTCATCCTTGCGCCTCAGGATGGTGATGGCGTCGCCTTCGCGGAAGGACAGCTCGTCGCTGTTCTGGGCCTCGTAGCCCCACAGCGCGTACACCACGCCCTTGTTCATCACGCCCAGCTTCTCCTGCACCCCTGCAGCAAGACGGCACCCGGTCAGCGAGAGCCCCACTGCGGGACCAGACCGACCACTGCTGCTCTCGGGCGGCCCAGCGAGGCCGAGGTGAGGCTGCGGCCGGAAGCCAGGCCCAGCTGCTGCCCGCGGCTGTGGCCCAGCAGGTAGGCACTGCCCTGGAGGTTCTGAGTCCAGAGGCATTTCTTAGGGTGAAACGTACACCTCACATCCAGCACACATTCCAAAGTCGGGGACCACAGAGGTGGGGTGACTGCTCTCACATGTGGCAGAGAGGGGCCACGCCCAGGAGAGCCTAGCAGGTTGGTGACCCGAGTGCCTCCCTCCTGCCCATGTCACTGTCCACCACGGCCTCCCAGGCTGGCGACCCCCTCGGCCCCGGGAGCTGTGCTTGGCCCCCTGCACAGCACCACATGGACTTTAGGCACGTCTCAGGAGGGAGCGGAGGGATGGGGCTTCGTCTGCTGAGCTAAGCGGCCGCCCCTGGAGTCAGGGCCCGGTCTGCCGGCCCAGCGCAGCCCCCTGCAGCTCGGGAGGACCCGCGTACCATACAGAAACTGGGAGCACTGGATGTAGCCCTCCTCCATCTCCTCGCACTTGTCTGCTGCAGTTTCAATGTCGCTGATGGTTGAGGCAAAAATGGCGGCGCCACTCTCCACCAGCTGTTTGCAGAGGTGCACGCTGTTGCAGGAGGCAGCGCAGTGCAGCGGCGTCCTGCAGGGCGGGAGGGGAAGGCGTGTGTGACCCCTGGAGTGGCAGGGCCAGGGGCTGCGGAGCCTCAGTGCCCGCATGTTCCTACTAACCACCTGTCCCCGCCTCACTCTCCTGAAGGGGGCGGGCTGAGGAAGCCTGAGACCGTGGCAGACAGCTGCCTGAAGCTGACAGACACCCGGGAGGCCGGGCCTCCATAGCAGCGCGGGGCCCTGCAGCCACGACCCGGACACTAAACGCAGAGTCCTGACTGCTGAACGCGTGCCGGGGCTCCCGTGTCAATGACCAGGTGGACAGACTGCACCACAGCCCCGCGCGTGTGGCTCGGCTGGTTGGGCTTCATCCTGTGCAGAGAGGTCGTGGGTTCGACTTCCAGTAAGGGGCATGCAGGAGGCAGCTGATCAATGTTTCTCTCACTGATGTTTCTCTCTCTCCTCCCTCTCTAACAAAATCAGTGAACCCATGTAAGAAAAGGGAAGCACCGCTGTGCCTTTTACAGTACCCTCCAGAAAGCAAAGCTGGGGTGTGCTGAGCAGCCCAGGACGAAGGTGGGCCCCTGTCCCCTCACCCACACTCCCTGTGCTCCAGGCCCTCGCCGCCCTGCCCCCGGGGCTCACCAGCCGTCGCTGTCGGCGGCATTCACGTTGACGCCAAAGTCCAGCAGGAACCGCACGATGTGGTGGTGGCCGGCGCAGACGGCGTTGTGCAGCGGGGTGATTCCTTCGTCGTTGGGCTTGCTGGGGTCTTCCACCTGGGACACAGGGTGGGTGAGCCCGGCCTGCGCGCGCATGGGGGGCGCCCGGGCAGGGGCTCTGCTCGCTCACCTCGTAGATGATCCTCTGCACCAGGTCGAACTCTCCCTCCAGCGACGCGTCCAGGAGCAGCGCCAGGGGGTTGAAGCGGACACGCAGCCCGCGGCCCGTGCGCTCGGAGTTGGGCTTCTTCAGGTTGGTCCGTTTGCTCTGTGAAGAGGAAGCAGGCTTGGATTTAACGGGGACCCCCCACGAGCCAGGGGGTGACACCCAGCTTCACTGCTCCTTCCTCCCAGTGGTGAGGGCCTCCCAGCCGCTCTGCTCCCTCAGCACCATCTTCTCGGGCCTCCCAGCTGGGCCTCCAGTACCCCTGGGCCGACTCCCTATGGGCAGGGACCCCTCTGCCATGCCCCCGCGCCCAGCACAGTGCTGGGCCCTCCCAGCACGAGGCCCTGTGGAGGCCGGCACCCACCGTAGAGGCTGCGAGCAGGGGTGCGACGGGGGTGTGTGACGGGGACACTTGCTCGTCCCCTGGAGAGGGGGCCTCGGCCCCGGGGCTCGGGACCTGCTCGGGGGACAGGGCCGTGGCCACGTTGTTGTTGTTGTCCTCGGCGGGCGCCCCGGCCGGGGGGGTCTGGAGACGGAGGAGCCCCTCGGGCTCAGGGGAGGGGAGCGCGTTGTCGTTGGCGTCCGAGGCGGGGGCGGGCTCGGCGGGCAGCGGTGCCGTGGGCTGCGGGCTGGCCTCCCCCAGGTTCCCGTTGGCGTTGGTGTTCCCATTGTCCACGTCGGCCAGGGTGCCCGTGAGGTCCTGCGAGGGGCCAGGCTGGTAGAAGGGGGCGCCCTCCATGCCGCCGGCCAGGGTGTTGAAGCGCTGGTAGAGCAGCTTCTGGATGTTGGGCCCCCCGGGGCCCTCGGGCTCCGTGATGGAGCTGCGCTTCTTGAGCGGCCGCGGCGCGTTGGCCAGCTTCCTGCGCAGCGCCTCCAGGTCCGCGTCGCTCTGGTAGCGCAGCGGCGAGTGCACGATGGGCGTGAGCTTGGTGGGGCTGAGCGGCCGCGGCAGGCTCTCCATGGCGCCCGTGGCCTCCCCGGGCGGGGCCGGGCTGTCCTGCTCGGCCTCCTTCTCGGCGCTTTCTGCGGGGGGCGCGGGCTGCGAGGTGCTGGCGGCCGGCGGCCCGTGAAGGAACGGCAGCGGTGACGGGGACGTGGAGCCCGACGGCAGGACGGGCTTGCCGTACACTGAGGAGACAGGACAGGGACCCTCAGCCCCTCTGGTCACACCGAGGCCGGCCGGCTGTTGAACCCTCACTTTTAAATACATTTATTTTTTTAATCCTCACCAGAAAACATGTTTCTTATTGATTTTAGAGAGAAAGGAAGGGAGATGGAGAGAAAATGGTCGATGTGAGAGAAACCCTGATTGGCTGTGTCCTACATGCCCCCCGACCGAGGTCTGAACTACAACCCGGGCACACACCCCGACCCGGAATCAAACCACACCCTCAGTGCCGAGCCGCACCGGCCACGGCGGTGAGCCGCAATCTAAACCCCGTGTGTGCCCCGTGTGTGCCGACACTTTGGCCACGTGGAGAATCTAACTTCCGCGTTTGCCTTTGGGGCTCCGGGATGGGGCTTTCCCAAACGAACATTTAAATGGCCACGGACCGGGCTCCCCACCACGGAGCTGTGCCTCGGACTGGGCGCGGCAGGAAGCACCCTGGGCCTGACGGGAAGGTCGCCTGGAGCTCTAGGAAGGGTCTCGGCCGCTCCAAGCCCCTGGTCAGTGCAGTCTCTCCTCAGAGGTCGCTGGGCACGGGAAAAGGCATCCAGGAGCCCCTCCACTACGAGTCTGGAAGCTTGCACTCACGCCCAAGAACGTCTAAGGAAGCCCAGCCCAGACTCACTGGCAGGACCCTGACATGCAGGTCAGAACCCACTGACCATGGGGGGTGCGGCACCA